AAAGAAAACCAAAACTAAGAAGATAAAGGATGTACGCTACATCAGGTCCCACCGGGTAAGAAAAGATTCGTCCTCGAATCTTCAGGCTCATCATGCGAGAAGAAAGGAACCAAATGCTTAACGTTGAATACATCAGAGCATCGAACATGCGGAGGTAAGGAAACACGGTAGGCATTGGGGTTCATCTTCTCCAAAATGTCCAAAGGTCCAATCTTACGTGCCTTTAATTTATTATATTCATGCGCAGAAAAACGTTCTTTAGTTAACACCGCCCAAACCTTGTCTCCAACACTGAATTGCAGGTCACGGCGATGACGATCAGCGGCTTCTTTATACTTGGCAGATGAGACACGCAAGTTGTCATGAACCAACTGGTGGACGTGAGACACATTAGCCACAAAGTCCACTGCTTCACCATGGTCACGAGTTGCATCGGGTTGAATTCCAAGATCGATCGGACCCCGTGGTACGATTCCATAAACCACACGGAAGGGGCTGAAAGAAGTACTGCGGTTCACTGCATGATTATGAGCGAACTCGGCCTGGCACAAGATACTATCCCACGACCGAATATTAGTACCCACCAAACAGCGAAGCATATCACCCAACAAACGATTAGTAACTTCGGTTTGACCGTCAGATTGTGGGTGGTAGGCTGAGCTCATATCAAGGCTTGTACGAAGTAGCTTCCAAAGTGTACGCCAAAAGTGACTCAAGAAACGCGAATCACGATCTGAGACAATGGACAAAGGAAGCCCATGAAGTCGGTAAATCTCTGCGAAGAAGAGGCGAGCCACCTTGACAGCATCCGTAGACTTTGTGCATGGGATAAAATGTGCCATTTTAGAAAAATGATCGACCACAACGAAGATGGAATCATGACCACGCTGAGTACGAGGAAGACCGAGAACAAAGTCCATGCTAATATCAGTCCAAGGTTGAGTAGGAATCGGTAAGGGCAGATACAACCCATTATTGGACGCATGACCCTTGGAATTTTGACAAACCACACAGCGCTCTACGAACCGGGCAACATCTTTCCTTGCAGACGGCCAATAGTAGGAATCAAGGAGAAGCTTAAGAGTACGGTCGCGCCCAACATGACCCTCGTTATGCAGCTCCTGAATGATCCACAAACGCCAACTGCCAGCCGGAATACATAACTTGTTGTCGCGGAAGAGGAACCCATCAACAACAACAAAATCAGATCGCTGACCAGCTGTGGACTCAGACCAAATACGACTAAAGAAAGGGTCATTCGCATATGAGTCTGCAAACGAACCAAACCCCGGAATAGAAGTATGGAATGCCGCCAAGACACTATGGCGTCTGCTCAATGCGTCTGCTACTTTGTTAGTTTTCCCAGACTGGTGACGAATGATAAATGTGAATTGCTGGAGATACGCGATCCAAGACGCATGCCGCGCGGAAACTTTGGATTGGCTATCTAGGTGTTTCAATGCGTCATGATCCGTGAACAGAATAAATTCCTGATGAAATAGGTAGTGGCGCCAATGACGTATAGCCTGAACGATTGCATAGAACTCGACATCATAAGTGCTGTACCTTGCACGCGAACCGGTGATCTTTTCACTGTAGAAAGCTACTGGACGACCTTGCTGACTGAGAACCGCTCATATACCTGTCTTGCAAGCATCACAATGAAGCTCAAAGACTGTTGCAAAATCCGGTAAAGCCAAGATAGGGGCGGTAATGAGCTTATCCTTGATCGTTTGAAAGGCCTTGTCTGCTGCTTCTGGCCAGGCAAAACTGGTGCCTCTCATGCAGTCAGTTAATGGAGCTGTAAGTGCACTGAAGTTGTGGACAAAACGCCGGTAAAAGGACGCTAGCCCGTGGAAACTACGCACATCGGTGATTGTGCGTGGAGTAGGCCATGATCTGATTGCCTCAATTTTTGTCGGATCCACTTGTAGTCCTTTAGACGAGATTATATATCCCAAGAAAAGGACCTGAGACGTCCCAAAAACACACTTCTTACGGGCTGCATAGAGGTGTTGCTGGCGAAGAACGGAGAGGACATCGTGCAAGTGCTTGAGGTGTTCGTTCAAATCGATACTAAAGATGAGAATATCATCAAAGTATACGACAACGCACTTGCCAATAAACGGACGAAGAGCCTGATTCATTACTCGCATAAAAGTACTTGGGGCATTGGAGAGACCAAAAGGCATTACGAGCCATTCAAATAAACCCTCACGAGTTTTGAATGCTGTTTTCCATTCATCGCCGGACGGATGCGAATCTGGTGATAGCCGCTCTTAAGGTCCAATTTAGAGAATATCGATGCTTTCCCAATTTGATCAAGGAGATCATCAAGGCGAGGTATTGGGAAACGATATCGTACTGTTATTTTGTTGATAGCTCTACTGTCTACGCACATACGCCAAGATCCATCCTTTTTGGGAATTAATAAGGCTGGAACTGCTGTCGGACTAAGACTCTCGCGTATATGACCCTTTGCCAACAGATCCTCGACATGTCTTCGCAATTCATCATGCTCTTGGGGGCTCATACGATAATGTGGACGGTTTGGAAGTGCTGCATTGGGTTGTAGGTCGATATGATGTTGAATGTCGCGTAACGGGGGTAGAGTAGTTGGGAGATCGTCGGGAAAAACATCTTGAAAATTTGAAAGTAGTGTGTCGAAGCCGGGAGGTGTGGTTGGTGGTGGTTGTGCGGTGCAAGGTGTTGCTACTAATGCCCAGATGACTTCTGTTTCCCGCAGATGTGCTTCAAAATCTGCTTTGGGAAGTGAAAGTAGTGTAGTCCCCGAAGGTGAAGCCGTTGTGACTGTGGGGGTAGCGGAATCCTCTGCGGGAACGTGTTCTGGAGAAGGCAGGAGTGTAATAGTTCGTCCTTTGAACTCAAAGCTATACGTATTTGTTTTTCCTCGATGAGTGACGTCTTTGTCAAATTGCCACGGCCGTCCGAGAAGGAGATGACAGGCGTCCATGGGAACCACATCACAGCAGACTGTGTCCAGATACGATCCAATGGAGAAAGAAACCATGACCTGACGGGACACGGTGATATCAGTTCCTTTGTTAAGCCAGGCGAGTTTGTATGGAGACGGATGAACGGTGGACTTGAGCTCGAGCTTCTTGACCGCCAGAGCTGACATGACATTGGTGCAGCTTCCCGAATCAATAATGAGTTTACAGATTTTACCATTGATGGTGCAAGTAGAGCGAAACAAGGTTGTTCGCAGCCATGATTCCTCTGAGGATCGCGGTAACAGGCAATTGCGCCGAAGAACAAGGGCATGAGCTCCTGTGTCTCCTGCAATAAACTCTGTGTCTTCGTCTTGTTGGATGTCTGTCTCATAAGTATCGTACTTATGTTCATTGTCAAAGTCAGCATCTTGATTCAAGAGGCCTCGTTTATTACGATTGGGACATGCTGTCTGGATATGGCCATTCTCTCCACAAGAAAAACAACGGAGCGCACCTGTGCGCGGGGTTCGAGATTGGGCGATAGAGTCTGTTGTTGTCGTCGATGCTGGTCTAGTCGACGTTGTCCGAGTTTGTGGCGTGTCTGAACTGGTTGAGGGGCCGTTGTCCGTGGGTTGTGAGATTGATTTGCCTCGTGTTGACGACCACGCGGGACGATATTGAATTTCCGTTGCTAAGGCTCGTTGGTGAGCTTCAGAAACGGTAAGAGGATTGAATTGTTGCAGTGCTATTTGAATCTGATGACGCAGACCACCAATAAAGCGAGAGACAAGCTGTTCCTCTGTTTCGACTAGCGAAGTCCGAGCCACCATATTGAAGAAATCTGTTGCATAGTCATCAACTGAACGATTGCCTTGACGCAGAGATTGCAACTTGTTATAAAGTGTGCGCTCATAATTATATGGGAGGAATGCTCTGCGCATATGTTTTTTAAGACGTTCCCACGTATCAATACGAGGTTTCCCTGCTCTGCGACGCGATTCTTTAATTTGTTGCCACCAAGCCATAGCTCTATTTTTGAATCGTGAAGCTATTAACGGCACACATTGATTTTCAGGAATTCGTTTGAATTCCAAAATCTCTTCAATAGAACTTAACCAATCCATAAACTCTTCTGTACTAAGATTTCCCGAGAATTCAGGAATCGCAACCTTGAAACCGGAATCCCATCGACGAACTTCAGGCTGATTTTCTCGTCGAAGGAGTTGATGCTCAGCTTGAATGGCGACGTGATCTTGGTGACGACGGCGTTGTGGGTTTGCGAACAAATTCTCGGCCAAATCCTCATCAGAACTTTCTCCTTCGTTGTGATGTAGAGCTGCCGGAGCTTGTGGTTGTTGAGGCGGAGCGTTGAGTTGTGGTTGTTGTTGTTGTTGTTGTAGGACCGTAGTAAGGGCTGTTTGAACGGCATTCGTCAGCGTTTCTTGAAGATTTGTGGTGAAGGTTTCCAATGTGTTGCGGAAATCTTCCTGCAGTTCTTCAGGAGTTTGTTTGCGAGGCGGCATGGTGAATATGAAAGATGAACGATGGGGAGTGCGGAAAGTATCAAGGATCGTGGATCTTGATTGAGAAATCAAAACCGAAAGGCTCTGATACCAACTGGTGTAGCCCAGGCTACGTATAACGCAAGAAACCTATTGATTCTGAGAATACCTAGGAATCGAGCCTTCTTGAGATCGTTGAGAGGCGAAGCTCTATCCGAGAACAAGGATTTGAGTTTATAAAAAGCTCTGAAAATATATTAATGCAAGAAGTTGTGTCCTTACAAAGCCAAGGCATCAACTTATATAGTAAAACTAAAGATAAAGACCAGCGAGAATAAGGAATAAAAGATCCTTATCCGAAAAGAAATCGACTAAGAAATAAAGGAAACAAAGANTTCTAGAACTATCTCTCACGAAGAAGATGATACAACATAAAGAAGAGAACTCTCTTTTGATTGGCTGAGAGATTATTGCCCACACGTGCCTCTCACATGTCTTGTATATTCAGCTTGAGTCAAACCCTCTGAACCACTCAGAGTATTCATCACACACAGCACTTGCTTAAAGAGGAATCAGATGACATAAACCCACAATTTCCATCAGCTCGTACCGAACAAAGCTCTTGATGAGGGTCTGAATCATTGTTATCCACCTCAGACCTACTCTTTTTACCAAGCTGTTCAGATGCATCTTCTCCACCATACGTTACATCAACTGGAAAAATAGCTTCATTGATCTGATAGTACCACGTGAATGATGAACAGCAACTGGAAAAATAGCTTCATTGATCTGATAGCACCGCGATGGAAACACAAAGTAGCTTAGCCACAAGACAAGGAAAGCCACATGCTCAAGCTTATCACCACTGTCCATGAATCTCCCTCATCCATGAGACTTGAGTTACCATTCTTCCTTGACCTTTCTGAAGTATCACCCGTTCTTCCTCCAGTTTCTCCTTACTCTTCTCTCCTGAACCATCCAGGGTAGCAAAAACAGAGAAACCTAGAAGCAACATAACGTCTTCAAGTGTTATTGTTGTTTCTCCCCATGGGAACACAAAGGTTTTGGTGTTAGGACACCATTTCTCAGCTATACCCATGACTAGATCTGATTCTTTACAGATTTTCGAGAATCCCAGCTTTTTTCCAAATGGGTTCGTGTAAAGTAGACATTTTTGTAGCCCAAGACTTGAACTTTACGTTTGGAAACCTCCTCCCGTTGAATGAAACACTCAAAGACAGAGCCTTTGAGTCTGGAGGAGGAAGCATTAGCTTCAGTCACTTCAGTAAAACAGGGGTGATGGAACTAAAGCTGGAAGTGCAACAGTTCCTTTTAAAGGTAAGCTGGAAACCCATTAATAAAATGTACAATCAGTTAACAATACTTAACATCAAGTTAGTTACTATTTTAATCACCTCAAAATCTTTTTATAAATGCTTAGTTTGTCTTCTTATGAGCCTTCAGGAACATTATTAGAGATTGTGATTTGATACAATAATTTACATTTGGATAAGAGGGAAAAAAAAACTGATTTTTACATTATTTATAGGCATACATTTGAAGTGTAGTACTTCTTTTGTTCAGTCTGATCATTGAAGCGTGGTATTGAACTTTACATAAAGTTTTTGTGTTATAAGCTGTCTAGCATGCAAAACAGCAAATAACAATCACACCAAAATATTTGACCAAAAAAAAAAAAAAAGCAATCACACCAAAAGATTGATAATGTATTAGAAAAGATTACATTATATTAGAAAAGACTCACATCAAATGGTTAGAAATAAACATGTTAAGAAAGTTATGGAACCTTCTTGTCGACTAAGTTAGTCTCAAACCATATGCTAAGTAACAATTGGCTAGGAAACTGTAAGTAGCTGATTGTGGACCTGTTGGCGATCTTTTTGAAGAGGTGATGCCTCTGAGTTGCTAAACAAAATAAAACCCCAAAAACCGAAACTGATGTATGTTATCATCTCCTAAGAGCTCTGTATGAGGTGCAAAAATAGTAATTAAGTAGTATATATCTCGAAGATACATTAAAAAGGGTCAAAAGTTAAGCTTTGTCTCACTTTTGATATATTTGCAAAGTGCTTAACTTTCAAAATGAAATTAATTTGCTGTACATTAACTTGACAATAATAGTAAATATTTTACATCAAAGAATCAGAAGAATAAAAAATAATAATCACAATTAAAAACTTGTGTTTGAAAAGAATTATCAAGCAATAAAGTTAGATAAAACTGATAAAGGAACTACACAAAGTCCTCTTTTTTTCAATTCTGCTGAGAAGAATTCTTCATTAATCTTTGATCCTGTGTCTGTTAGGCATCCTCTCTCCTATAGTTCCCAAGTGATAAGTATTTATTGTTAGAAATATTTTTGCATGCAACAAAAATATTTCTCATAGAAATATTACCTCGGATGTAACATTGTCCATGTATTTTCCATGTTTTGCATTATATTCCGCACCATCCAACACACAAAAACCCTGAATAAACCACACAAAATGTTAGAAATTTAACTTAACAAAGGAAAAAACAATTCCACAAATTAAGATACACTCATATGCATCTAACCTTGGTTTTATTAGAAGGAGAAGAGGCTGTGTCTTCGTCTTCTTCTTCCTCCTCTCTTTTTTCTTCTTCTTGGTGTTGATGAACGATTCGTCTCTTTTTATGGTTTGTATTAATGCTATTATCCTTTCTTCGAATAACATTAGTAATCTTTGTGGTGTGGACAGGAGATGCAGCGTCTGAGATCATGGAAGAATCACTATCGTAATAATGAATCGTTTCTTCTCTACCTTCTTCATGATCAATGTCTTCAAAGTAGACTATCCAACTACTTTCTTCTTTCTGATTTTCATCTTCGTGTATCATTCTGACTCGTTTCACGCTGTTGTTTACGGAGTTCTCCATTCACTACAAGAAAATAACCATATTGCAAGAATGATATATTGTTGCAATATGCTCATATATTGTTGCAAAACTGAAATTGCAATAAAATTGTAACAAATTTTAATTTCTTGCTGTTTGAATGTTGCAAATTCATATCCGTTGCATAGACGTAGCAAAATTAGCGACAAATTGAAATGTTGCTATATTTGTCATATTATTGCAATAATTTTTAATTGCAATTTTGTTGTATATTTACAACGTATTTTCTAACGATAAATAGTGGCAGGTCACTGCTACGTAAAAGTATAGCAAAAAACATTGCAAATTTGCAATTATTGTTTTCTTAAAATTTAATAATATTAATGCAACAAATGTATATATAAAATTATTTTGGTACAATTGCAACGTATGGTTGCAATTTAAAGTTGTTACAAAATTTACTATAGAAAATATATAGCAAATGTTGTTGCAAATTTTGCTATAATTACTTTTAAATAATATATTTGGTGTCAATATTTTTTGACGTGATTACATAGTTAACAATTAATATTTTAATAAAATAGTAGATATCAAATCTGATGCATAGAATCTGTTTTAGTATTTTGTTATTCGATGCATTATTTATTTTTACCTTATATATATTTTATAATAAACAAAAATCAAATGACCAATTTTATTAGATAAAACTAAAATATTAAAAAAAACAATGCATTAATAGAGAAAAACCAGCAGTAATTTAAAACTAGAAAAAAACTAATAAAACCTTAGAAAAATAACAAAAGCTTCCAATTTAAACTTGGTTATTGACACCCGTGGATAAAATAGCCGGACAAAGGATCGCAATCATTTTCTCCAAGCCTTCAAGTTTGCTGAGCCTTTCTTTGATATCTTCATTTTCTTGAGAAATGTCTTGTACCTTTTTCTTGAACTCATCAGTTTCCAATTGGCTTTCAAAGGTGGCTGGCATTTTACCAGTGAGCGAAACTTCACTTAGAAGAGCTCCTAAACCAAACACACGCCCTTGTGTGGAATCAACTAACTGTAGAATATAATATATGTAAGACAAAAAAGTCTATAAAAAAATCCAGGAAAAGAAAAAGATTTTTAAACTATTGCATTACCTTCAAATACATTTCATTCTTTTTCTCAGAAGTTAGCTCTTCTGTGCTTAAGATATCATCTCCAAGCATATGATCAGCTACATTGTTTTCAAATCCTTCACTAATTAGCCTGGCCCTTTCATCCACAAATGACCCATCTGATTTCTTGTGTGTCTCACGAAGAACATCAATGTAAGATGCATCTCCGTTCTTTTCTTTCTACAAAAGAGAAATGTTAGAAAATAATATTAAAAGTGGTATATATGAAAACAAGTGTCTTACCAATATATCTGCAACCCTAGCATATGAACGTGAGCCAGCTCGGTGTTTATGAGGTCCCAGCCCGTTTCGATCTGACATTCGACTCTTAGAAGCTTTTTTACTTCTTTCTTTAGCTTTATCCGTGCCCCAGTAGGCAACCAAGTCTTTGTAGTAATCATCAAGGATCCAATATGGCTGCTTACCTCTTTCTTTTACTCGGTTAATCATATCGATCAGTTTAGTTGCAGCACATTTGCAAAACATCTTTCGCACCTCGGATTCAATCAAGTGATCCCAATAGAATTTGCTCTGTAAATATATATTATAAAGAAAATTAAGAGCGCCATACATAAAACTTAAGAGATATGGCATAAAACTTGAGCAATATGGCATAACTTAAGTGATATGGAATACCTTAAATGTGTACCACCATCGCTCTTTTACATGTTGCGGTGTAGTTGACCAGTTTCGATACGGGCCAGGAAAATCAGATCGGATGATTGTTCTTATCTCATTAGTGATTAGGGAATCACGTTTGAACCTACAAACAAAAAAAAAAATATAAAGCAACTAACTTTTAATGTGACGTTCATATTAAAAATCAGATAGGATGATTGTTTCTTTTTACCACAATGATCCATTCAGTTTGGAAGGATTCAGAACACCCAAGACATTCGCTGCTCCATGATTTTGACCCTCATTTGCCATCTGGAGATCAGTTGGTTTCAAAGAACTGCGATGAAGAAGTTTACTGGATTGTTAAAAACACCGTATAAGCTGCATATATATATATATATATAAATGCATGAAAACAACAAAATCTAAACCTCTTGATACTGGATATACCCGTATCTTTTAGCATAATATTCACCAAACAAACTAAACTCAAGCGGCAAATGAAATATAAGGAGGGAACAACATTTGACTAAAAATTAAAACTATTCTAGTACTTACAAGCTCATTTCGTTTGAACTATTTAATAAAATTACAAATAAAACACAAAAATATAGAACCAGTTTCTCATATCACTAATCAAAGTACAGAGATGAAAAGTTTCCTCTTAAGGATATAAAAAGGTTTCAACTTACGAGTTCCTGTCATGGGAAACAGTGACGATTTTGTTGGACTTTGAGCTCCAATCAATTCCAGAAACAATTTGGTCATGCTGCAATAGATTCAAACTAAACTTGTAAGGGAGATTCAAGCTGTCCATAAGTGTAGAATCCCCAAGAGGAGAAAGGAAGTTAGTTTCAGATGGGAGAGAGAAAAGCTTCACCTTTTCGAGGACATGTAACCTCTCCCATTGGTCTTGTGATGATTTATAGATATGAACTTCATTATTGTTAGGACAAAACGCAACCACTACAAAAAAAAAAGGAAACAACTTTCACATATATGGTTACATGCTTTAAAAGACAGACAATGTAACAAGACAGTAGCGTGCTCATCATCAGCTCTATCAACTGTTCCTAACCAAAACTATTATAATCTTCAAATGCTGTCTTGCTATGTTGAACCTAAGCTACTAAGACCATATATGAAGCTATCTATTGCTATAATCAGGCACAAAGATTCCTCCCACCTTTAAACAAGAGGCACCGAAAAAGAAACACAGGTTATAAGCGAAGGAAAAAAAGACAAGAGACGTGTGTGAAGAAAGTTACTGGAGTGATCAGGACTCCAAGAATGGCAAGTGATTGACTCTGCGATCTGCACTGAGACTGAGCTGATTCAGCCGACAAAGCACTTGCCTCTGCAGTTGCCTGTGTTGCTGCAAGCTGTGACTTGATATCACCCAGTTCCTTCACACACTACACAGAAAGAAAAAACAATAAAAATTGGTAAGTTAAAGTAACAAATACAGAACCAAGCAAAGTAGAGATACTAGGAACCTTCTCAGTAGCAACATCCGAGGCACGAATCTGCTCTACTTTCTTGTTTAATTCCTTACCAAGTTCGAGCATTTCATCTTCCATTCTCTTAACTCTTGTTTCTGCTTCCTGCTCATGTATAAAAAAGCACACCACAATATATATAAACTCACCAAAAGTCTAAACTTTGAAACCAAAACTGTTATATACATGAATCTAGTCAAAACACACAAAACTGTTCCTGTAATAAAAAAATAAAACTCAACTCTGCTAAAACATGATGCATCATCTAGTGTCTGACTGAAAATATTAAGATCTAAACAATCATATTTCACATCAATGAAGTAAAGCCTCAAATCCTCCAGCATCTTTTAACTGTTACATTACATGGATCTAGTCAAAACACTAAAGCTGTTCCTGTAATAAATAAAAAACTCAACTATTCTAAGAGATGATACAGATACTGAACTTTCTAACATCATTAAAGATCTAAAAAATAACATTTCACATCAATGAAGGAAGTAGTTTAAAAAGGGTGTGAGAAGTTAGTTTTGTTACAGCGAGAAAACAGAAGGAGACCCTTGAACTGCTTCCTCCTGCACCATTGCTCTTAACACTCCACTTGTCCGACAAGAACCTCTCCTCCAACAACCTTTCACCATCGGGACAAAGACGGAGACCTTCTTGGACGGTGGCATTGAGTTTGAGAAGCTCAATTTAACCGCAGACGAACCGGGAATCGAACTCTGTAGCAACGCCATTGGAGAAGACATGAGCTCAATTAAAAAAAAAAAATTAAAAGATTGAGACTTTATGCTCCGAATCAACCAAGGATATGAGTACTTGAGAGTAGTAGGTAGGAGTTTCTTTTAAACCGTTTGCTTGCTTGCCTGCCTCGACATGGCTTCTTGTGAACACGAACGCTCCTGTTCAGCGAGACGAGTCCTTGCTTGCTTCAAATCAGCGGCTAAAGACTCAACATTTCTCCTGAGACTCTGCTTCTTCTCACTCAAATCCTTCAACATAGGATCATCTTCTCTTAAGCTAACAGAAGCTGCCATTTTTTTCTGGATTGAATGAAAGATCAATGAGCGATCAGTAGCTGATGATCACTACAACAAAAAAAACAAAATTTAATAAAATTACAAAGTTCAAACCGTTAAGTTGACACAATTAAACAAAGCCATCTATTTAGTTACCTCTGTACATGCATGTTGTCCTCATATGTAATCAGTAGAAGCCCAAGGAAGAAGAAGCGAAGAAGTACCCATCTCCAATGCTCGGATGTGTTGTCGGTTCAGCTTCTCTGCTGCAGATTGAAGACCAGGGGAAGTCCGAGAGCACCATCCAAGCTTGAACTGATATCACCGGAGGCTCCATCTGTTGTGGCTGTGAAGATCGCCTCCGTATAGACATCACCGCTCTTTCTCTCTCTCTTTTTCTTTCTGGTGAAAAACAAAAGGATTATAGTACGGTTAGTGTCGGCTCCAATCTGAGAATTATAATAATTATAGTAAGTACCGTACTTAATATTTGTAAATATAGCTGAATATCAGTTTAATACTTACATGTTTTTTTAACCATGATGCAAACCGTAGTTCTTTTAAATCAAACATTTGAGCCTCATTTGTGGTGGGATATGTTTTTTTCATGTCTTCTTCAAANTATAGTACGGTTAGTGTCGGCTCCAATCTGAGAATTATAATAATTATAGTAAGTACCGTACTTAATATTTGTAAATATAGCTGAATATCAGTTTAATACTTACATGTTTTTTTAACCATGATGCAAACCGTAGTTCTTTTAAATCAAACATTTGAGCCTCATTTGTGGTGGGATATGTTTTTTTCATGTCTTCTTCAAATAACCTGTATAAAAAAATTCACATTATATTATAAAAAAATAATAATTTTAAGACCAATAATAAATTTAAAATATACTTACTTTTCATAGGTCTGTAGATAACTACAATTTAAAAGAACGTATGAGTGTGCACGTTGGTAATCTTTTGAGTCCAACCAAACATCCAATGATTTTCCACTACCTCTCCCACCTTGTAAGAATATTTCAGGAATATCTGGAAATAAATTGTTATGAACGCCACCTCCATCATCATTGCGAGAAGCATTGCGACTTTTAGTCTGGATATAATCTTCAAAATAATATGAGCTAAAATCTGAAATCTCCTGGTTGACACATTGTTCTACGATGGACCCTTCGATTTTAGCTTTATTTTTCGCCATCTTCTTCAAATGATACATATGCCGTTCAAACACATACATCCATCTAAATTGAACTGGACCACCTAGCTTTGCCTCGTAAGGGAGGTGAACACACAAATGCTCCATCACATCAAAAAAAGATTGTGGAAATATTTTCTCCAGGTTACACATAATAATAGCGATATTATTATTTAATATTTCCACAGAATCTTTGTCCAAGGTCCGTGCACATAGATCCCGAAAGAATAAACTTATACCTGTGAAAAATAATAATCATTATTTGTATTTCAGCACTTATATATATACCAATTAGAATTATATATACGAAGAATAAATACCTGATAATGCTTGATGGACGTTGCTAGGTAATAATTCTGCAAAAGCTATTGGAAGTAACCTTTGCATAAAAACATGACAATCATGACTCTTCATTCCAGAAAGTTTTCCTCCATTGAAATCAACCGAAGAAGATATATTCGATGAATAACCATCAGAAAACTTAACTTCTTTTTTCAACCAATTAAATAGACATGTCTTGGATTCTGGAGATAGTCTAAATAANTAGGTAATAATTCTGCAAAAGCTATTGGAAGTAACCTTTGCATAAAAACATGACAATCATGACTCTTCATTCCAGAAAGTTTTCCTCCATTGAAATCAACCGAAGAAGATATATTCGATGAATAACCATCAGAAAACTTAACTTCTTTTTTCAACCAATTAAATAGACATGTCTTGGATTCTGGAGATAGTCTAAATAACGGAAATGGAGCTTTTCCCTCATCAGTAATATGCAGGTCTTTCCGATTACAAATATCAGCCAAATCAAGACGGGATTTAACATTGTCTTTGGTTTTCCCTTGCACATCTAGCACTGTATTGATGATATTATCAAAAAAATTCTTCTCAATGTGCATCACATCAAGATTGTGACGAAGAAGAAGATCTTTCCAATAAGGTAACTCCCAGAATATACTCTGCTTATGCCAATTATGTTTTTCCCCGTATCCCACTATTTTTGGATGCCCTTCTCCACCACAGCTAGCAGTCTTTGGTAAACCCATCACATGGTCACTCCATAAATCTTTGCCTGAATATATTTTTGGAGGATCAGAATTAACTACTTTATTTTTCCTGAAGTTTTTCTTGTTACGGCGTAGACTATGATCTTTTGGAAGAAAACGACGGTGACAATCAAACCAACATGTTTTCCTTCCATGCTTCAACCAGAAAGCTTCAGTATCGTCCATACAATAAGGACATGCTAAACGACCATGAGTTGTCCATCCCGATAACATAGCATAAGCGGGAAAATCACTGATTGTCCATAAAAGCATAGCTCGTAATGTAAAGTTCTGCTTCATCGATACATCATATGACTCAACTCCATCAGTCCATAAACCATTAAGCTCCTCTATGAGAGGCTGTAAAAACACATCCAAACTTCTTTTTGGATGCTTTGGACCAGGAATTAATATTGTGAGAAACAAAAACTCACGTTTCATACACATGTCAGGTGGTAGATTATATGGAGTAAGAATGACTGGCCACAACGAATAATTTTGACCAGACATACCAAAAGGATTAAATCCATCCGTGCACAAACCAAGATAGACATTTCTAGACTCATTGGCGAAATCAGGATATACCTGGTTAAAATGTTTCCATGCTTCACCATCTGATGGATGACTCATTACGTTGCTAGCCTGAGTTGAATAATGTTCTCTGTGCCACCTCATATGTGAAGCTGTCTTATTCGACTGATATAATCTTTTCAGTCTATCAGCTATTGGCAGATAAAACATTTGTCGAAAAGGAACTTGTTTTCTTCCTGGCTTCTTTGTACTTTTGAATCTGGAAGCTCCACAAAATTTACAGCATTCTAGGTCTGCGTCGTTTTTCCAGAAGATCATACAATTATTCTGACACACATCTATCTTTTTGTAAGGCATCCCCAAAGACCGCATCAGTTTCTTTGTGTCATAGTATGAAGCAGTTGCATTGTTATCTGCGGGCATGTAGTCTTTCAACATTTGAGCAATATAATCCATGCACTTCTCAGACAAGTTATAATCTGTTTTCAAAGTCATACATCGAGCCGCCAATGACAGCTGTGAGTGTCCTTCTCTACATCCCTCATATATTGGATTTTTGCTTGCATTTAGTAGACTGAAAAATTTTTTGGCTTCTTCGTTAGGATCTTCTTCAATGCTTACATGAGAGGGTGTATGCTCATTAAAGGCATCACTTATCATCTCAACATAAGAGTTTTGAGCTTCCGTGGAAACATCTATGGGTGTGTTTGTATTTTCTTGAGCATGTCCTGGGTGATTGTCAATCTCATAGTCTTCTCCATGTGCAACCCAAACAAGATAATTAGCCATAAATCCTCTGTTATATAAATGGCCAACGACTGTTTGCTCATCAAGAAATTTTCTATTCTCACACTTCATACACGGACAAAACATTTTCTGCTTTTGAGAAAATAAAACATGGTTTTTAGCAACAACCATGAAATATTTCAATCCTTCTGTAAATGCATTAGAGACTTGATTGGTATTGGGATCAATTCTTGCATACATCCATTGCCTCATAGCATGATTAGCATTACTGGAAGACATTTAGAATTAAAAAAAACCTGCAACCAACCAATATAGGACTTGAATAAATCATTAACTCTATGAATAAGTATATATACCAGGAACGTTTCAATGAATACTTACCTCAGTTTTGCCTTTGAATAATTTATTTGGTATCAAGAGACTTCTGAATGGCACCTATATCAACATAGTAAACAAGATAAGGGGTTAGTTTTCTGAGCTAATAAAACCAGAGAGAAACATAGATAAGAAAGATAAAAGGAGTCAACTTACTTAGGATTTAGAGAGAGATTAAACAGGGGATTGTGCTGCTGTGCTATGCTCTGTTTCACGACAATTAAAGGATCGTG